CACCAAAATATCAAGAATTTATTTTCCTCAAAAATGTGAAAATTTTGGAAAGTTGAAAAATATTTTCTCGGGAAAATTTTGCTTATCAAACACTACAAAAGTTTTCCATTTTCCATAGGAAATGTGTGCTATCAAACGGGGCCTTAGTGCTCGGATACGAATACAATTTTTATAAAAAGCTAAAAAATTGTTCACCAATAAGTAGAAATTGAATTGTAAGTTGAATAAAAAAAAAAATCTCTGGTGATTTTTCCTTTTTCAGAAAAAGCTATTTCTTGTTTTGATAACTACTCGAGTCCTTAAGAAATGCACTCTTTTATACGGGCCGTTTAAAAATACAGGTGTGGATATTAAAGAAAGCCCAATGGGCCTCTTTCTGGTTCCAGTTAAAATGCGACTGTTTCCCCCAACTCTCCGTGCAGGCTGCTCTCCCTCTCCCTCTCCCTCTCCCCTCTCCTCCCCTCTCTCACACACGTCCACTCACAATCAGGTGAAAATGGCGGCCCAAAGAAAATTAGCAAATAACGTAATATTGAGCGGTCTCAAGAAACTTAATTCAAGCATTCTATCAGCATCAACATGTCCTCATCTTTTCATTTCTCGCAGAGGCATAGCTTCGAAGCTCTTCGTTGGAGGTACACCCAAACAACACTAAAGAAATATAGAGTTCAATGTATTTCTTCTTGCTCATTCAAAATATAATTGTTAGGTTTTTATTAATTTTGTCCTACGCGCTATGTTTGTTTTAGTTTTAGTGATTGTTTATTTTTGTTCGATAAGTTTCTTCTAAACCTACCTGTTCTTAATTATATCGTAATTAATTCTTGTGCGTATGTTTTGAATTAGATTAATAAAAAGGCGTATGAGAATTTCACTGGAATGCCCTCCCTTTAAATATGAAAAATAAACTTCAATTTTGTGCCACCATATGTATCTTTAGATGATCTCTTGATGTGGCCAACACCATAGCCTGCAATGCTTTCAAAATTTGAAACTCCTAGTGCAGTCATGGAAAATTGATTTTACTTTTATAATGTTACGTGCTAAAAGAAACCTCTGTTCTGCATTAGCTACTTATGATTGAAGGGGCTGCCTCTTTCTAAAAGTGTTGCATACTTCTTGATGCCACTTACCTTTGTCACTTGTACTTTTATTTTTGACATGCCTGAGCGTAGATTAGTGAAATAGATGTTGCTTTGGGATGTATTGATGCGTTGTAGTAGTATTTGTTCTTTGAAATGATCAAAGATAAGACAAACCTAACTGTGAGCATGTAACCATGGCTCAATTTCATACGTAAGTCACTTCTTTCTGTCGTTGTGATGATGGATTGGGGGGGAACTGGTGAGAGTCTGTCTGCCAATTCATAGAGTTGAAAGATTTCAGCTAATTGTACACACCTTGATTCTATTCACGATACCCTAGATTCTGAATAGGATATGGCAGCGATGAGGGGTGGGATAGGGAGAAACATGGTGTGTGCACTTTTGGCATATTGTCGTACAAGGAAGGGACCTATTATGGAGGAGCACTTAAAAATGTAATTGGAGTTGGTGGTGTGATGCAAACCGTGACTTATTCTGCAACTAGTCCATGCCAATTTCATTGAAAAATTGAATTTGTGTTGACATATTTACCATCTGGAAGCTAATATTTATATTTTGAGAATATGAAACAAATTCAAATATATTTTATGCACACTATTGATTTCATTCTATTTCTGAAATGGTCATGATTTCAATCTGATCATTGGTTAATTTACTTGGAACAACTTGGTTGGGACCTTTCTTTCAACTATATGTTTGTTGTATAGCAATAAATGTCAGAAGTATTATTTTTAGGATTAAACTATTTTACCAGAAGAAATTTGATACTCTAGTTGACATCCTCTCACATTTGTAGTGGGGCCACGCGGGACCCATATGAATTAAAAAAGGAAAAAAATTCTCCCATCCCCCCTATTGTGAGGGATTTGTCAGGGAGGGTGTCAAACTCTCCCTGGCACTCCAGCATTGTTCTTATTTTTAGTATTCCAGTTATTATTTTATTTTCACGCTTTTATATTTGACTCGTGTTTACAGACACTTGAATCACTTCTTATTCACAGGGATCCATGAATACTATCCATTTATTCATCACTTCTTTCTTTGTATGTATAATAAACGATGTATAAACACTTCCCAAACATGATAGCCGGTATGCTTTAGCATTGATCTAGAAAATCAATACAATAGATCAGCTTCAGTCTTTCATTGGATTTAGCTTAGATGTTTAATATCAGTTTGCGAATGGAAACTTCTATCTTGCAGGAATTTCATTTCGTACCACAGAAGAAGGTTTATCCGAGGCATTTTCGCAGTATGGCCAAGTTATTGAAGGTTTATTATACCACCAATCTAATTATTTGTACTTTTTCTCCATAGCTAATAAAAAAATGTATCCACGTTAGTCCAACATATTCATTTTGACAGCTAAAATTGTGACGGATAGAGTATCAGACAGATCAAAGGGTTTTGGATTTGTAACCTATGCATCTGAAGATGAAGCAGAGAACGCGATCAAAGAAATGAATGGAAAGGTCTGTCCTGTCTTGTTTTCGTTTTGACTTTCGTATAAAATTATTTTTAACACGAGTTTAACCCGCCCTGCAGCCACTAAATGGACGTGCTATCTTTGTTGACTATGCAAAGCCGGGATCACACTTTAGAGGTGGGATGCCAATAGCTAGAGGACCACCCGAACCAGCATCAGAAAATTGATCCCTAGTCAGTCTCAGAAATGGGAAGATTCAGATACGTGCAGCTATGAAAGCTTGTTCTTTGTGACATTTATTTTGGGTACATGGTTCTATGTTGAAGTTTCACTCCTAGCCCGATATGAAACCCGATGCACGAGTTCGATTGTAGAGAACCAAATCTATGCTAGACGTATTGATGTCTCGAACGCTAAGTGCATGTTTAGTAAAGGGGTTTTAACGATGAACTATGGATTATTCTGGTCAATGTTGGCCACTATGGTAAATTTACAATTAAGCCCTTCCTCTCTACAAGTTGGTAATAATTTTGAACTTAAAAAACTTGGATCGTCAAAAAAAAAAAATGTTATGTTTATATTTAATTAAATACAATAATCTATCTATCTTGATTGATTGAATACATTATTGTTCGCTGAAGATATCCCTTCACCTACTTCTTATCTGTAACGCCATAATGCTAGAAGAGTAGATACCCAAAATGCCACGCTGAACAAATCCAATGCGACATCTCTCCTCAACTTTCTCTCTCTTCTCTCTCTCCTCATTTCGACAAACTTTTTATACCTCATTTCCCCCTCATGTAATCTGGTTTTTACTCTTCCTTTCTTGCCCTCCAACGCTCTCTGTAGAATGACCAAACTGTCCTTTCCAATTAAATGCATTCCATCTATGTCCTCAATTTTTAAACTGACTTCCTTCACTTGCATGTCCCCTCCTTCCGACACACCGCACGTGACCAAAATCTCGCACTGCACGTGACCATGATCGACTGTCAGGATTGTAGCAAACCGCGCCTGCATTTCTCCAGTCAACCAATGGCGTTGTACCGTAACAGGCTTGTAAGATGAGAGGTTCACTGCTCGCCGTCCTGTTGGGTCGATCAAAATCCAGCTCAGTGTCATGTGGCTGATGAGTGCCGTAGACGTGTCCTCCTCTGGGTGTTTAATGGGTGTGGGGACCACGTCCTTTGGTTCCAGCAGGTCAATCCTGAACGGTGAGCACCGGAACCATCCCGTCACGGTTTCCGTTTCTTGAACTTTAGTGAAGATCAATTGGTCTTGGTAGTGTATATCAACGGCGGATATAAATTTTGATGGTGGTGGCGCTGATGGTGATGAAGGGCTGAGATTTGTCGAAGTAGTAAGCTCTACCAAGAGAGGAAAGGCGTTGGCAAAAAAACTACGAGGGCCACCATCTGGGAAGGTGGATATGACGTGGTTGACACGTTGAGAGCTGGTGGAGGGCCACGTGGAGTAGCACATGTTAGACCACAAGTTGTTTTGGGAGGAGAGGTGGTGGAGAGTGGCGGAGCAGCAGCTGACAGTGGACAGAGATACTCCATCTAACCGTTTCAATATGTGGGATTCTATTATGTCCGGGTGAAGAGTGGAAAATCCGGTGGTGTTGCAGTCTTGCTCAGCCATGGTTGTGGTGGCAGATGGTGGCGATGGTGTTTTTGAGGAGGAGGAAGAAGAATTATTATTCATATTTGAGGATTGAAGCATGCGGTACTGGAACTTCAGTTGGGCTTTGATTTCTAGTAGGGAAAAGTTTATATAGGAGTCCTCAGGATATGAGTTTACGAAATTACCCTTGTTATGTTATATCAATGGCAGTTGATACGAGTCCTAACAATGACAGCCAAAGGGTAGTTTGGGGATCTAAATTACTCATTATTGTCATCGAGATATTGCGTACTCCATGGGGTAAACATTTTTAATTACTCTAATGGTCCCACTAAACAATTTTAATAACCGGCTTTTAAACATTAATTTGTCAATGCCAAAATTGAATCATTTATAACCTAGAAATGGTTAATTTTAAGCTCGACCGAACGTACGGCACATCTTAAAACTGATTTTATTTAGTATAACATGACATAAGTTTACAAACTACGCGTCCAAAATATTAGTTTTTGTTTGATTTTTAGTTAAATTAAATGGATACTTAATTTATTAAATAATATGAAAGTATCCCATCAGGATAAATACGACTTACAAATAACATTAGTCTTTGTTTAATATAACTTCGTTTTCAGCCTACGTGAATGAGACAATCAATAGATGCCAAAGTTCATGAGCCGGCGTAGACAATGGATTACTCTACCGACTGTTTTTTATAGCCATTTGATTGCTATGTTAATATATTTACTAATAAGAGTTGAAACTCTTTACGTTAATTTTTGCACTTTAAAATTAATGGAACTAGATGGTCCCACATTGACAATTTAAAAATTTGTGAAAATGAAAACCTTAGATCAGCTGTCTCATTTTTGTTGTCGTCTCCGAAATAGGTTTAACACGTCACTTCTACAAATTTTCTCTTGACTCGTCACTGTTTTAACATGATATCTTCTATCGACTTTTGCGTTCTTTGCATAAGATTAGATTGTAATTTGCAAGTACAGTTATACGACTTTTTGAGGTCATTGGGAAATCCCTGAATTAAGGATAATCGGAAGATTTAAAGTGATTAGAACTTTAACAACGGTAAGCTACATTTCTTTTTGATCGACTCCCATATCTTCTAACATATTCCACGAACGCCTCATTAGACACCTATACAAGACACTTTCGAACCACCTAAATTTCTATTCTCTTACGGTTATTGTTGACCCCAAAAAAATAGTCATATGACGTGGCCAACAGAAAATTAGAGATTCAAGTCCTTGTAGATCGAATCGCAATATACTCGAATCTAACTACTAGCTATATTGATGAATCAATGTAGGGGATGATTCACAGCATTTTATAGGTTGTTATAATTGCTTGGTGCATAAAAAGGGGGTTGGCTGTTGAGTGTAGCAGAGAGAATCAAAATTTACTTTGAATGTACAAACTTGCATTGTCCCCTTAATGTATGGAGTGTAGGTTTTTTATATCTCATGTTGAGTGAATGGGGTCCGTCTGATGATAAAAAGATCTAACGGTTCTTATTAGAGTCAATTAATCAATCAAGCCATTAATGCTTAGATCCCCTTACCTTTTCCCCTGACAGAGGATTTGACTGCGCAGGTGTGTAGAGAAAGCACTGGCAGGGTTATTGTCTTGTCAATCGTTTCATTAAGTCTGCTGTTGGTTGACTTACCACCTCGTCAGAGGATCCCAGTTGCCTCTGCCAACGGGGATCGGATGAGCAGCGTTTGGATTGGCATCGCTTCGGCATACACATGGTCGAATCGCCTATTTGCTATGCCACCTATGGGCTCGTCCGCTTACCACATAGAATTTATTTTACGATTATTTATATGAGTAACATCAGTCCCCCAAGTCCAGGTATGATTATTTATATCTTGCGTGGACTTTGAAGCCCGAGAAACGATGGAATCGAAACCCTTACTCGCCTGCTAGAATCAGCGTGGGGCTCCCCCGTTTTCTGCTTGAACTCTGCAAGACAATGGGCTTGCATCAATAAAGGCGGTTCTCCGTAACCTCGCCGAGGTATGAGGTGTGAAGGCCCCCTTTGTGATGATTTGGTGAGTGTTGATTCCCAATAAGCGACGCTGGATATTCTTGGTCATTTCCAAGGCTCGAGCAACGTGCGCATTTAATACGCAATGATGATGACATTTCATCTCTACCCAGGTGTACGTGAATTCTGGGCACGTGTGCTACACGGGTTAATCTGGGCCCTTGATTCGAATTCAAATGGGAGCCTTTTGGTTTCTACGTAGATGGTGAGGCGACAGGTGAAGGGCTCATATTAGACTAGAGAAGAATCCGAGGATGGGGGTTAATCTGCCAAGCCTATATAAGGGGTTGAAATTTCATTTTTTCATCTTTTTTCACTTTCTGAGATTTCATGTAACCAAGTATTGAAATTTTCTTCCGTCCGAACCCAATATTCTTGTTGTTGCCGGCGATTGACTGCTTTTCTCACTCCGATAGCATCTAGGATTCAGGTTGTTAGATATTGTGTACGTATTTTCCCATACAAAGGCCTTTTTATCACTTCCTTTTGACTTTAATGGCTTCTTCATCAAAAAGGATGTTGGTGGAGGGTCTTCTGAGGTGGATATGGCCCTGACCTGTGTGGGGGGTCCTCATGATGCTAAGATGATGCATGAGGGTCCCGTCAACTATAGCATTAGGTGGGGGGCCTCTTTGTGGCCCACAAATATAAGAGAGGACGAACTGGAGACCTTTAGGGAGAGGTACAGGATCCTTGAGGATGTAGAAATGTTCGTGCCAACCTAAGAGGAGAGAGCTTGCTTTCCTAGGGAAGGGTGTGTGGCCGTGAGCGACGCGATTTTGGCTAGGGGCTAAGGTTGCCTTTACACTCCCTTTTCAGGTTTATCCTTAGGCAATACAACTTAGCCCCCACCCAATTAGTACCCAATGCATGGCGTCATCTGGTAGGGGCCTTCCTTCTTTGGAAGGAGGTCACGCTTGGCGAGGATATGCCTCCCCATGTCTTCCAGACCCTCTTCCAAACCCGAGCCTCTAGTGGGGGTAGTGATTGTAAGGAGTGGTACTGTATGAACCCCTATGGCTTACATTTTCATTTCGTCTGAGGGACCCATACCTCTATAAAAAACTGGAAGTCTTCTTGATTTTGGGTTAGGGGTCGCTGGCAGACCGTCGAAGGGGATGTGGTTCTGGAGATAACTGTGCCGACCCAGTACCATGAGTACAGTGAGTCGAGCCCCCATTTATTTATCATTCCTCATACTGTTGCTTTACTTTATCTAGTATTGAATTGGTTTGGTGTCTTTGTAGCGGCTGTTGATTGGTTTCGACTCGAGCCATCCGGTGGGTTGTGGTAAGGGCGATTTACGCATTGCCTGTCGAGAAGAGGTACTTTAAAAACGTCATCGCCAAGCAGACCCTATTTGTCATCCACCTTCTAATGGCTACTAAGGGTGATGACCTACTCGACTTCCTTAACGCTACCCTTTATCGGCATGGTTCCTAACCTTTCTCGTTTGCAGGTCAGCACGATAACAAGGAGAAGGTAAAACCCAACCTTTTCCAATTGAGAATCCTGAGGGAGGCCCAGAGGAAGAAACCGTTAAGTAGTAGCTCAACTACTTACAAGAATCAGTGGGACGAGTTGGCCCGTCTTTCCAGGGCGAACCCCCCCACCTCCCCCATCAAAACCAGGGGAAAAAGATAAGGAGGAGAAGGGGAATGAGAAGAAAAAGGGTGAGGCTTCGGAGTGCAAGCCATTGAAAATGAAGTTGGTTCTTTCTAAGAACGTGGGACCTCCTCCCCCGCCTAAACTCTAATCCACTTCGGACGAATCGCTGGGTCGTCCCATTCTTGCTGAGCCCATTTCCTCCTTGAAAGTGGTTGAGCGGAGGAATCCATCGAGGAAGGGGGCAACTTATTGAGGAAGAAAATGGAAGGTACAAAATCAAGTACCCTCAGTGAGGACAAGGCCCAAAACTTCTTGGAGGGGAGGTCGGACGAGATCGCCCTGCGATTATGGAGATGCTCCCTACTTCGGCCCAAGGGGCTGCAAGGCTTAGCCATCAGTACTGGACCGATAAGTACTCATCCTACGCCGAGACTTGCGATGTGGCCGATCTCATGGAGGTAGGGCTCGCCATGCAAGCTCGTTCCCAGAGCTTTTTAATTAGTGCTCAAATGGAGGCGAGGCGGGTACAGGGGCTCGTGTAAGATTATTATAATCGAGCCCAGAACGTCAAGTTTGACGCGATCAAGGCCAAAGCCGAGGCTACCTCTACCACTAATTCTGCTGAGACTCTTAAACTGAAATGCGCCGATGCTGTGTCCAAGGCGGAAGCCCTCACAAAGGAGAATGAGGGATTGAGGAAGGAGGCACATCTTTGTAAGGTAGAAGTGAATGCCTTGACAAAGAGGATCGAAAACTCTGACAACCTCCAGAGGATCGCCTCGATGGCTTTAGAGGAGCCTAACAAGGAGATGGGAGAACTGAAGGTTCGTGTTTCCGAGCTTACTGCTGAAGCCTCAACCTTTGAGGAGAAGTTGAAGGATGCTGGGAAAGCGGCGGTGTATGACTATATGGCCCACTTTCACGAGACGTCGGAGTATGAGGGGCTCGAAATCCATTGGAAGAAGGTTGCATATGCCGAAGTTTTCGGGAGGTTGGCCGAGCTGCATCCCCAGTTGGATCTGTCTTCTCTGAAGGGGGAGTTTTTGGCGGAGGAGCCCTCAACTCTGGCAAATGATGGGGATGACGCGAAGGTAGCAAACGCTTCGGAGGAACCCCCAAAGGAGGACGTGCATGTAGGATAGACTTATTTGTAGTTTTCAGCTCTTGTATTTGCCCTTATTCATAATAAACATGTTTATTCCTTTTCTATAAGTTTTCTTCGAGTAGATCTCGTTTTACTATAGTTAATTAATTTGCCTTTTTAGTAAGCTTTTAAGCGCTTCACGAACTTATCATGGCCGGCTCGTTACAATCAATTACTTTAATGGAAATGTATGAGCTCGTCATACTTGAATAATAACTTATGAACTTGTCATAATAAATTAATTTGATGGAGATATGAGATCGC